GAAATTTCAAAATCATCAAATTAACCAAATCCATGGCGCTATTGGAACAATATATTCTTGAGACTAAATAGAAGAAAAAAATCTAGTACCATTTTTCCTTCTGACAAATAATTAGCGAAATATCATGAGTTAAATATTGAAAAAGTTATTCAGTTTTCCTTAAATATGTCACAAAATATTAGTTAAATAAAATAATGTTTCAGACAAAAGTTATTTAAATTAATTTGTAGGAAAAGACGATGTAATAAAAAATTCGGGTATCCATTTATAAGATTTTTATGTTGATCTTGACTGGACTTTTCAAGGTTATCCCAAAGTTAAATTCATAGCATCAGTAAATAGAACCTTTGAAGCCTTACAACTTTTGTCTGAAATATTTTTCTCTAAAATGTTCTATTTTCGAAATAAAAGGGCTGTACGAGTGGTCTGAATCACCCTGTATAAAGAGGGTGGACCATTTTAACCTCTAATGGAGAATAACTCGACCGGTGAGCGAAATAATGAAAAAAGTTTCATACAAAAGTTGTTGGACAAGGAGGGGGACGTATGACCATATCCTTGAATTTGACCTTGGCTTTGACCTTAGGGGTTACTTGAAGGTCAAATAACATTTTTTAAATGGAATTACCTATTTTCGATCCCGGATTTGGAAAGAGCGGGAAATTTTAGAATAGGACATGGTATGATCGATAAGATCAAATGTCATGTTTTGAGGTCATTTCAAAGTCAAAAGGAACTTGTATGTGTATTCATGCGAAAATCGTATCTGTATACGGGGATTTCTAAATTATCTTCTATACTTAGCATTACCCAGAGACAACGACGTGGACGTGGTAGAATTCTGCCTCTTTCGGGGTGCTTGTTTAGAGTGAGTCCCCTTGCCTCTCACTATGCATACTTTGCTATTGTTAATCTAGCTATTCAAAAGGTTTTCGAAAGTTGCACCGTTAGCATTTATGCAATAATTGAGCCTTCTTTGGAAATGGGCCACTGTGCTGAGCAAGACATTTCGTGGAATCGCTTCGTCTTATGCGATTTTCCATATCTTCTCTTGTTGTTGGTTCTTCTTTGAAAACAACTTCTTTCAAATAGCCCCAGAGATAAAAATCGAGTGACGTCAAATCAGGAGAACGAGGAGGCCATGCAATCGGACCCTCTCGACCAATCCATCGGTTCGGGTACCTTTCATCTAAAAACCTCCTGACTATACGTGCAAAGTGCGGTGGTGCACCATCCTGTTGGAAGAACATCCTTCTCCTGGTTTCCAAGTCTACGTTCTCCAACAAATGAGGCAATTGGTCTGTGAGCAAATCGAGGTACGTATTTGCATTCACAGTACGTTCGAAAAAGAATGGACCGACCAAGTATCCATTAACAATCCCGCACCAGACATTGAGGCTCCAGCGGTGTTGATTGTTAATGGATACTTGGTCAGTCCATTCTTTTTCGAACGTACTGTGAATGCAAATACGTACCTCGATTTGCTCACAGACCAATTGCCTCATTTGTTGGAGAACGTAGACTTGGAAACCAGGCGAAGGATGTTCTTCCAACAGGATGGTGCACCACCGCACTTTGCACGTATAGTCAGGAGGTTTTTAGATGAAAGGTACCCGAACCGATGGATTGGTCGAGAGGGTCCGATTGCATGGCCTCCTCGTTCTCCTGATTTGACGTCACTCGATTTTTATCTCTGGGGCTATTTGAAAGAAGTTGTTTTCAAAGAAGAACCAACAACAAGAGAAGATATGGAAAATCGCATAAGACGAAGCGATTCCACGAAATGTCTTGCTCAGCACAGTGGCCCATTTCCAAAGAAGGCTCAATTATTGCATAAATGCTAACGGTGCAACTTTCGAAAACCTTTTGAATAGCTAGATTAACAATAGCAAAGTATGCATAGTGAGAGGCAAGGGGACTCACTCTAAACAAGCACCCCGAAAGAGGCAGAATTCTACCACGTCCACGTCGTTGTCTCTGGGTAATGCTAAGTGTAGAAGATAATTTAGAAATCCCCGTATACAGATACGATTTTCGCATGAATACACGTACAAGTTCCTTTTGACTTTGAAATGACCTCAAAACATGACATTTGATCTTATCGATCATACCATATCCTATTCTAAAATTTCCCGCTCTTTCCAAATCCGGGGTCGAAAATAGGCAATTCCATTTAAAAAATGTTATTTGACCTTCAAATAACCCCTAAGGTCAAAGTCAAGGTCAAATTCAAGGATATGGTCATACGTCCCCCTCCTTGTCCAACAACTTTTGTATGAAACTTTTTTCATTATTTCGCTCACCGGTCGAGTTATTCTCCATTAAAGGTTAAAATGGTCCACCCTGTATATGCAGGGTATCCCATTTTAAAAAACGCACTTAGATAATTCATGAAAGCATTTTCAGCAAAAATATTTCCAACAAATGTATGCTTTCAAGAAAGACATAAATTAACTATACTATTTTGTTTACAAATGGCACCATTTTCGAGATATTCACTGATAATTACTTTTCTTAAATGGAAATCCCAATTTTTTATTACACCGTCCTTCTCTACCAACTAATTTAAACAAATTTTTGTTTGAAATATTTTTTATTTGCCTAATATTTTTTAGTTATTTAAGAAAACTTGATAATTTTTTCAATATTTACCTTATGATATCTCGCTATTTGTCGGAAGGAAAAGTGGTACTAGAGTTTTTTGCTCTACTTGATCTGAAGAATATATTGTTACAACAGCGCCCTGACTTTCGTTAATTTAATGATTTTAAAATTTCCTAAAGTCAGTAAGTTAACAAAAGTCAGAGCGCTATTATAATAATATATTCTTGAGATTAAATAGAGCAGAAAAGTCTAGTACCATTTTTTCTCCCGACAAATAGTTAGCGAGATATCGTAAGTTAAATATTGAAAAAATTATTAAGTTTTCCTCAAATATCTCAAAAAATTAGACAAAAAAAAATGTGTTAGACAAAATTAATTGGTAGAATTAATTGGTAGAAAAATTAATTGGTAGAAAAAATGGCGTAATAGAAAATTAGGGTTTCTATTTAAGGAAAGTGAATGATCAATGAATATCTCAAAAGTGGTGCTATTTGTGAACAAAATAGTATAGTTGTTTTACGTCCCCCTTGAAATCATACAACTTTTGTTTGAAACATTTTTGCTGAAAATGCTTCGTTGAAGAATTATTCAGAAGAATTATCAAGTGCGTTCTTTAAAATGGGAACCTTATATACATACAGGATGTCCGAAAAATAACGGACACCACCCTAATAACTTTTCAATATTGAAGTTTCAAGGAAAATGATCTGAACAAAAGTTGTAGGGATTTAAGTGAGCTACTTTATGATGACCTTGACTTTGACCTTAACCTCTATTTTCAAGGTCATTTGAAGGTAAACTTGCGTTTTTTAAATGGGAACCCTCATTTTTTATTACATTGTTTTTTCTACTAGTTAGTTTGAACAACTTTTGTCTAAAATATTTTTTATTTGCCTAATATTTTTTAGCTATTTAAGAAAACTTGATAATTTTTTCAATATTTACCTTACGATATCTCGCTATTTGTCGGAAGAAAAAGTGGTACTAAACTTATTTGCTCTACTTGATCTCAAGAATATACAATAGCGTCCTGATTTTTGTTAATTTGATGATTTTGAAATTTCCAAAAGTCAGTAAGTTAACAAAAGTCAAGGCGCTATTGTAACAATATATACTTGAGATTAAATAAAGCAAAAAAGTCTAGTACCACTTTTTCTTCCGACAAATAGTTAGTGAGTTATCGTAAGTTAAATATTGAAAAAGTTATCAAGTTTTCTTCAAATATCTCAAAAAATATTAGACAAATGAAAAAATGTTTTAGACAAAAGTTGTTCAAATTATCTAGTAGAAAAAACAGTGTAATAAAAAATAAGGATTCGTATTTAAAAAACGTAAGTTGACCTTCAAATAACCTTGAAAATAGAGGTCAAGGTCAAAGTCAAGGTCATCATAAGGTAGCTCACTTAAATCCCTACAACTTTTATTCAGATCATTTTCCTTGAAACTTCAATACTGAAGAGTTATTTGGGATGGGACATTAAAATGGGAAACCCTGTATATATGTATATATATATATATATATACATGTATATCAGATCAGATGCAACTTAATGAGAAATTCATTCATCATTAGCCATTCTTATATAGCCAAGATTTTAGTTGTTATTTAAGTAAAATTACATAAATTAACTACCAGATAAAATTCTAACACCAATTAATTTTTTATTTGGATAATATAAATGAATCTTCATCTATATTTCTTTCTTAAATTAAGAAATATGTTATTTTTACGAAATTATGAGATGGCTATCTTAGAATATTTAATCTATATTGTTGCAAATGCATAAAATATTAAAATATTTGTTTTGGTCGTAGACATTTGTGTTAGTACTGCATATTTCAAAGAACATTGAGACTGAGAGCGCGTTGGGAGTCATCTATAATCGGGAAATAGTATTAGAGGATAATTAAGAGGTATTTACATGTTTCAGCTAATATATCTACCTAGATAATTTAAAGATAATTGAAACACAACACTATGTAACCACTTACTAATTGTAAATCTCATAAGTCAATCATATAAATAACACGTATAATAACAACATCATATAAATAAAATTTTGTGCCTGTAATAAACATGTAATAAATAATAAAAATAAAAATGAGTAAAATACGATTTTTTCATTTAGCTATTTCTTATTAATATGGAAGTATTATTTGAATAATATTTATTACTCTAAATATTTTAAACTTCTAATTTTATCTTCAAAAGTAAATATTTTTTATTCACATAATATTTTTCACTCACATTTGTAATAGTCAGAAAGTAACTGTCATGTTATCATTTTAAATTACGCATTGCCTTCTTCATCATATTACATAAGTGATTAATCGTCACTCATCGCAACTGAATAAACACTCGACCATATATATACAAGCATTACTGAAAGCGTTGTGCTGAACCATTCAATATCTTTTGAAGCAGCGTTCCCATTCGATAAGATCACAATGCTACAATTTACGTGGGTACTGGTTTTTCTCACCATTAGTGGTAAGAAAATATTATTTTAATAATACTTCCATTATTAATAAGAAATAGTTAAATAAGAAAATCGTATTTTATTAATTTTTATTATATTTTTATCATTTATTATATGTTTATCAAAGACACAAGAATTTATTTATATGATGTGGTTATTACATGTATTATTTATATGATTAGTGGTGAGAAATTAAATATTTTCATCGACATCGTCTATGTATTCATGTGCATTAAATATTTATAAATATGGTGATACTAATTATATTATATTAAATTTTTGAAAAATTAGTTTTTGCACCAACAATTTGCAGAGAAAATTATTGAAATACTTGCATAAAAAAATTTCTTGCATTAAAAATTGAATTATACTTATATCACAATAAAGCAAATAAAGATTATTTCTTTCGTTTTTGGCTTTCTTACTATTAAAGAAATAATAATTTATATCTTTTTTATCTTAAAAAAAGTTATAATTAATTCACTAAAATAATACAGATAATTTCCATTAGAAATATATTTTAACATGCTGATTGCAATGATGATTGCTAACTGATTCTATAATATTGGCACACTTCATTAATTTACATATAATACGTAATCAAAACAACATATAATAAATTTTAAATATATAGCCAATAAAGAAGCAATGAATCGTGTTAAGAAATATATATATTATAGATTGTATTTATTTATTTCATCTTTGATTACTCAAATATTTATTGTATAATGTGTATTAAAATGATAAATGAAAATGAACATAGCGATCATCGTGTAAATATTTTTGCTGGTAATAGAGATTGTTGTTAACTATCTATGGACGATTTTACAATATGATGTAAAGTATTTGAACTACATATTTTATCATTTTAAATCTCTACTGGGGAAATTTTCCTACAAAAATAATATGAAATATTTAATGGTCTATATTACACTGTAAGAAACGATGTTTTAAATTTAACATATTTCATGTCTCAAATCATTCACTCTCATTTACGTGTTAATTTAACATACAGCAAATATGTTAAAAAATAATACACATAATATGTAAAAAATTAACACAAAAATTTAACATTTGAATGCCATCAAGAATCACAGTTTGTGTTAAATTGACGTATAATGGATGTTACTTCAACATTTGGGAAAAGTAATGATCTATGATTTAATGAAATGAAAATGTTAGTTTGACATAATCTATGTGTTAAAAATCCAATCTTCACATACCAGAAATGTTAACATTATACATTTAACACATGATAACTATTATAATGAGGAAAGTGACACATTTTAGGTGTTAACTTCAACATATAAAATATGTCATAGCAAGAATTCATGCATTTACATATAAATTGTGTTATTTAGTACTTGAAAATGTCATTTTAACATTTAAAAATAGATAATCTTAATTTAACACAAGAAAGTCTAGGTTTAATACAACAACGATATGTTAAATTAACACACGATTGTGTAAAAAATTTAACACAAAACTTTCTACGCAAATAATTTTAACAAAAGTACGAAATGTTTTTAACTGTGTAGGTGTTATTAGTGAGACACCACAAGACAACAGGGATGTTGATATTGTCGAGCATCCGTATATAGTGTCAATTCAATATAGCAATAAACACAAATGCGGTGGCGTTATACTTGATGAATATAACATCATTACGTCGGCTCAATGCGTTCCACGCTATGAGCATGCCTGGAATGTTATGAACATTATAGCCATAGTTACAGGAACGCATACTCTTAAATCTAGCGGCCATCGTTTTCATGTCAAAGAAACATTTTCTCAAAATTATACCCCAACTGCCATTGGTATGATTAAGGTAAACTATTTATATATTTATATTGTGCTAATTGATTATTATCGTGATTCATTACAATATATATAAATAACTATATAGAATAATTAACTTACAATATTATGAGAATCCTTATTTTAAGAATATATTACAAAAATTATTAATTATGTATCTACTCTGGCAACTTGATTTATATGCAATGTTAAGATCTGAGAAAATTTCATGGTTGAAATTGAAACTATCTTAGAAAAATCCATTATGTTTCCGTAATATTGAATAAACGTGATGTTGTATAAGTATACTTCTTGCAGCTTTCTATGCCAATTAAATTCGGAACTACTATGCGATCGATAAATTTGTCTTCGACCAAAGTACCACCGGGCGCGACTCTGCAGATGGTTGGATGGATTGAGAGTGAAGGGGAACACAATCTTAAGAAAGTCACATTAAGAGCGATAGAATGCCAGTCAACCCACGAGGAACACTTCTCTGATCATGAATTTTGTACTGTGTCAGAATCAGACGATATTTGCAAGGTAAATTATAATAACAATTTATAATTATGTAACATTAAAAGTTAGATTGATAATTCATTATTAATATACATGTTATATATTTTAATATACTTAAATATATTTTTTGGATCATCCCAAAAATAATACGGTTTTTTAAAGTTCTAAGTAACTAAAGTTCTAAAATAATGCAAAAAGAACACATTCAATTTTAATTTAATAAGGAGAAATCATGACGTGATACTAATCGATTTCAACAAAACTCGTTATGGAAATAGATATTCATGTCAAATAATGTTGAATAGAGAAATATAATGTACTTGCGTCAAGCATTATACGAGAAAATCGAAGTTAAAGAATGTCGAGTGGTTTATAACTAATTTGAATAAAATGTTTAATTGAGGAGCACGTAACACTCTGATAACGCGCCTGACTCGTAGTATTGATATTTTCGAGTTTCGATAAGTGACCTTTTTCAGAATTTTTTTGCAGTACAATCTTAATGGAATAGCTATACGGTAGAGATAAATCAATGTCATTACCAATAATATTTGTAAATAACAATACCTGCAGGTAATAGGTGATTGCTATAGACAATACAAATAAATGTGAATCATATTTTTTTATTAATAGAAGTAGATGGAATAGTAGATATTCATGGATGATATTTGTCATAAAAATAAGTGAAGCAATAATTCGCACAACATCTTACGTATCGTAAAGGCTACATTTTTACAATCGCATGATTATTTTAGAATATCAAGTAGAAAACATACCTTATTAATATTAAGAAATATGTCTATCAGTTTTGACGTAAAGTATGCATACCCTAACATATTTTCAAAAGTTGGAGCGGACGATTGGTATACGATTGCATGAATTTTAAAGCATTTTTCATGAGATACTACTTCGCGTTTTCTTTTATTCTACTAAAAACGAATAATCTTGCACGCGCTTGATCAAATTTTTTACTTGTTTATAAAAATATACATCACATGTTTGACATAACGATTGTAAAAATGAAGCTTATATAATGCACAAAATGTCGTGCGAATTATTACTCCGTTCATTTCTGTGACAAATAACATCCAGCAGTACGTAACATTCCATCTATGTTCACCAAAAAATAAAGCATGATTCACATTTATTTATATTGTGTATAGCAATCAACTATTCGTAATTATTGTTTACAAACACTGTCAGTAATTCTATTGATTTATTTCGTACAGCTATTTCACAAATATTTTATTGCAAGAAAAAGTTCTGGAAAAAGTCACTCCTTGAGACTCGAACTAGCAACGTCGACGGTGCGGGTCAAGTATTGATATTATGCTAAACACTCTTCGATTAAATGTTCTGCTTGTAAGCCTCTCGACATTCTTCAACTTCAATTTTCTCGCAATTTTCTACTTAAGAAATATATTTCATCCCTTTACTCGACATTATTTGATATGAATATTTATCGCTACAATGAGTTTCATTAAAAATGATTAGTCACGTCGAAACTTCTCTTTATAGATTTTAAATAATAGTGATAAATTATCACTATTATTTATACCTTGTCCCTATTTTAATTTTAAATTTTTAGTATCTTGGCGATAGAAATTCTTATGTTTTAGTCCAAAAAATGAATTAAGCTCTTTTCGAACATTATATTCCGCTGGAACTATCTTTGACTTATACTCATATCTGGACAATAAATTTTATATATTTTATTTATGCTACTGTAGCAGTGTTGCCCTGGCGAAATTCCCAAAACAAAATATGCCTCAAGTATTTTTTGGGATGATTCAATATTTCATTTTATGTTGTAGTCATTTCGTGTATTCATTATATTGGGTGAGTGCAAAAGTTCGTGCAGAGTTTGTGAGTAAAAGTCACACAGTGATTAGGCAAACAAAAATCTTTATTCAATCAATGATGTATTCTCCATCGTTTTTTATAATCTTTTCCCAACGTTCTGGCAGCATACGGATGCCTCGATCATAAAAACTGCGCGGTTTAGATTCGAAGAACGAAGAGACGCCGTTTTTTAAGGCCTCCAAAGAGTCAAAGTTTTTTCCATTTAAATAATTTTGCAATGACCGGAACAAGTGATAGTCAGATGGTGCGATATCAGGAGAATACGGTGGGTGCGTTAAGACATCCCATTTCAGGCTCTTCAGTTTGCGCAGCGTCTTTTTCGAAACGTGTGGTCTGGCGTTGTCGTGATGAAAGACGACTCCCTTGCGATTTGACAAAATTGGACGTTTCTCTTTTATTTCTCGATTCAGATTGGTTAATTGGCGACAGTACTTGTCCGAATCAATCGTTTCGCCAGCGGGGAGAAGCTCGAAATAGATTATGCCCTTGCAATCCCACCAAACAGAGAGCATCACCTTCATCGAGTGCAAACTGGCCTTTGGCATTGCGTCACCATGCTCACCTGATTGTTTCCATGTCCGTTTGCGCTGAACATTGTTGTAGAGGACCCATTTCTCATCGCCCGTCACTAGTCGATCCAAAAACGACTCGTTATTGAGCCGCCCGAGTAAAGAAACGGCTGCAGAAATTCGCTTGATTTTGTTCTTCTCGGTCAGCAAATGGGGCACCCATATATCGAGCTTCAAATCGAATCCCATCTTTTTTAAACGCCGAAAAGCGGTTGATCGGTCAACGTTTAGTGCTGTAGCAACTTCTTCTGTTGAAATTCGCGGATTATTGAGCACTAAAGTACGCAAAACATCGTCATCAATGTCAGAAGGTCGACCAGAGCGTGGCTCGTCTTCAAGGTTAAATTCTCCGCGCCGAAATTTAGCAAACCATTTTTCCACAGTTCGTTTAGCTGGTGCTTCATCCTGATAAATATCCTGAATGTTTTTTACGGCTGCGGCAACGTTTATTCCCTTCCGAAACTCGTAAAGCATAACATGCCGTAAATGCACCTTATCGATACTCATTTTTAAAGTGATATTTCTCGAAGCAGTTTGTATGAAAACAAATGATTTTTTTTTTAATAACAGCTGAAGACGTCACCTTTCCAACGTTATATAATATGTAGATGGAAGTATTAATGACAACACTTTATGACGCTTATAACTCCATCTATTGAAACTCCGCACGAACTTTTGCACTCACCCAATATATACAGAATAATTGACAATTAAAAACACAATGTTCGTGTGTAAGTAGAGCGTATCAAACTGTGCAGGAAAGTTCTATACTATTTCGTAAAATTCGCAATAGTTATTAAGAAATTGATTAAAATATATATAGGATAATTAAGACAGACATACAGGTTTGTGATATTCATAATAATTATCGAATTATTAATGAAATCTGATGAGCGAGCGCGCGCTGAGATGGATGATTAAAGAAACGTTGCGGCCACTCGAGGAAGAGGGTGACCCAATTGCTCCAGCAACTGTTGTCGGCGCGCAGCGAGGGGAAGAACAATGCACTATTATTCCGCTATACGCTATCTTATTTCGCCGCTTCTACATTTCGCCACCGGCAACAGTTGCTAGATCGATTAGGACGCACTCTTGTCCGAGTGGCTACAATGTTTTTCCAATTATCCATCTCGGCATATACTCACTCGTCAGATTTCTGTAATTAATAACTTGATAACTACGTATTATGAATATCGTAAGACGGATTTTTATGTTTGTCTTAATTCGTTTTATATCTCCACGAATTTCTCGTATTGAGTTATGTGACACTTTGTATTAACTAGTGAATGCACAAGAAATGATAAGACAAGTTCTGCAAACAAAGTCTTATCCGAAATATCTCGAATCTGTTGATAATCTCTTAACAATCACAAGCGGTATATAATATTGAACAGTACGTCTCTAGGATCAAATACCACGCAATACTCGCTATTGTTAGGAAACCGTTAATAAATACATTAAAGGGGCGAAAACTTGTCTATGAAGCTTATCCTACTAATTTTTATACATTCATCTATTTATATTTTTTAAATGATTTAATAATTAAATATGGCTAATTTCGTAAATTACAGGATTTTCCTATTCAGTTGCTTACATTTTACTTGCACATGAGCATTACATCATTAATTACCAGACATTTTGTACATAATCTGACTTGATAATTAGTTTTTATAGAAAGTAAAGTTTCTACATCAAATTTTTGTAATGCATTTTTAAGGAAAAATAAGATTGAAGAATAAAACTATAATTTCCCTTCAATTAATCTCATTTATATTATATTAACGATTCATTTTTAATATAAACAAGAATAGTACTGTTAATAATTATCAACTAGTTAGTAGTTATACATTTATAAAAGTAAAGTATACATGCAATTTGAAAAAAATTTAATAAAATAGAAATGTTGAAATTAAGTACTAATGATATTAATATTTCTAATAATTTATAGAGTGATAGCGGCAGTGCTTTGATTTACGAAGGTAAACTTGCTGGTTTGAGCACGAGAGTTCCATGCAAAGAACTTCGCAAGCTGAATGTCCACCGTGATCTAAGCCAAGAGCAGGAATATATTACAAAAATTTTACATACATCTTAAACCACCCTATATTTCTTAATTAACTTTTATTTTCAATACGAAGCTTAAAAACGACTAACACCTATAAGTGTAAAAGAATTAAATTGTATTATAATTGGGTAACAAACGAGTAGGCGAATTATATTTATGTCTCATGTAATAATAATTCGTAATATCATTACGAATAATAATTCGTAATTGAAATTAGCTTATTAATAAAAATTAACTTGCACAATGTAAAAGTTGCAGTTGTCAATGATATATTACATATGTATATGTGTGTGTATGTGTGTGTGTATAATTCATATGTCACAGTGCCCACCAAAAGTTTCGGCTAAATAACTTCTAAATGGTTTAAGATATTGAATTGAAATTTATAGGGATATAATGGGATTACAAAGTCTATAATTTAACTACAAAAATATCCCTCTTCACATTACAGGGGGGCGGGGGGAGAGGGAGATTGGAAAATCTTAAATAACATATGGAGTTGACTGAAAGCTCGTTTGAAAGGGCTTTCCGAAACGAGAACAACGCGGGGTCGTCGAAGTCACTATGACTTTTTTTCGCAGAGTTATGATCATTTAAACATTTCTATCGAGATTTTACGATAAAGAGACCACGGCGAGTAAAAGGTGATTTACACGATGCTACTTTTGATGCTTGGTGCTGGCTTCTTTTGTCGCCAGCTCCTCACTTTCCTAGAGCGAATTTGCTATCTGACAAAGTTGCTAATGTTTGAGTATTTACACGTTGCTGATAAACAGCGTTTAGTTGTTAGCGTTTTAAGGAGAATTTTGCGGAAACGGTCAGTCAAAAGGATCATAGCGTCAAGGAATGACATATGAGGTTAGTCCCAGAAGTACCTGACCTGACGTATAGATAGCGGTTGTTATTTGAAAAGAATGACTATGGTAGAAAGTAGCAACTTTATAAAGCTTAAGCTTAAAGTTTGACGACGCTACGTTGTTTAGTATTTGTTTGGCAGTCAATAGTGTGCGACCGCTCTTATCGCCTAGGAAGCGGGCAAAAAGGCCGCGACGATCTCTCAGACCGCCCTCCGCCGCTTCATCAAATTTCACCAAACAGGGCGCTAGGCACGCTCCGTGTGCCCACCAACACAAACGATAAGCGGCGGCAAGGCCAATACGATCGCCTACGAGTCCGACAGCTCTGGTACTTATAGTCGGAGGGGGGAATGGATCCTTCGTCCTAGGATTTCCGGGAAAAGGATAATTCTCGGCAAATACAAGGAAAAAACACATTTTGATTTAAATTGATGTATGTAATCTGTGCCTTAGCTTGCTTGACAATTCAAAAGAAAGTTACGCCAAAATCGACAATGTTCGCTCGACTTCCGACGGTGAGGCGAATACGACAACGTTCTTTAACTCCCGCAGCGATCCGCGACTTCGGCCACAGCCGATACCCACGAACAAGAGAGAGAGGTTCTCCGCTCCCCGAGCCCCGCGGACCAACTACCGGACAGCTTCAGTAAACGAGGACGTTACATCCAATTTCCCAGACATGAATATCCGACAGCCGCCGATTAGTCCCGCCACGCCACGGTTCACGAATACGAGACCGGGGTAATCACAAAAAGGCACTCTTACAATTTCGAACGTCTTCGGCAGCCTCCTCCGTCGTCATCGCTCTCCTCCTTTCCTTTGCTCCGCTCTCTCTCCCCTCGCTTCCTCCACTCTTACTCCAGCCGCGACGCGCGTATTCTCTCTCTCTCTCTCTCTCTCTCTCTCTCTCTCTCTCTCCACTCTCACTCTCACTCTCACTCTCACTCTCACTCTCACTCTCACTCTCACTCTCACTCTCACTCTCTCTCTCTCTCTCTCTCTCTCTCTCTCTCTCTCTCTCTCTCTCTCTCTCTCTCTCTCTCTCACTCTCTCACTCTCTCACTCTCTCACTCTCTCACTCTCTCACTCTCTCACTCTCTCTCTCCTCTCTCTCTCTCTCTCTCTCTCTCTCTCTCTCTCTCTCTCTCTCTCACTCTCACTCTCTCACTCTCTCCCCGTCTCACCGTCTCACCGTCTCACCGTCTCACCGTCTCACCGTCTCACCGTCTCACCGTCTCACCGTCTCACCGTCTCACCGTCTCACCGTCTCACCGTCTCACCGTCTCACCGTCTCACCGTCTCACCGTCTCACCGTCTCACTCTCTCTCTCTCTCTCTCTCTCTCTCTCTCTCTCTCTCTCCTCTCTCTCTCTCTCCTCTCTCCTCTCTCTCTCTCTCTCTCTCTCTCTCTCTCTCTCTCTCTCTCTCTCTCTCTCTCTCTCTCGATATCCAAAGATCCGTTTGGGGTACTAACCACTGCCCTCGACAGGGCACTAAGCCGTACGGGTTACCCTCGGTACACCCCCGACACTAGAGGTACGACAGCTTGGGAATACCCGCTCGATATCTCTTTTTCGGTAATCTAAAATCGCTCGTTAGCTCCCGCTTCGCGTCTGGCTTCAGCCAGAAGTGTCGGTTTTTCCAGCCAATCTCGGGGACATTGCCCTAGTTCCATGCCCGGCTCCGTTTTTTTCCTTCCGTGATCACGCGATGTCGAGACGTGGTCCTGTGTCGTTCTTTTTCTTTCCGAGCATCTCCTGCGTGATCCGGCTCCTTGTTGTCATGTGCCGATCCCTTGTTCGTTTTCTTGCTGTCAACAACACAAAATAAATCGGCAGCGGTATGATAATAACGACCAAATTTTTTGTAAACGGTAGCCTTTAGCGGAACTAAGACATCACCTGCGAAAGATATCTCTCCGTTCGCCCGTCGGCGGTTCCTCGCGTCCCCCAATCTTTCATTCCCAGCCGGATCTCCTTCGTCCGCTTCTCCTGTTGGTCGGAGGCTACCCACGGCGATAGGGGCACACACCTTGTCGGGACGTGGGAGTACCACATAAAAAAAGAAGAAAGGCCATCTCGCACTCTTCGGCGAGATCGCTCGCCAACACGAAATGCCTCCGCGACAAAGTATCGATAGAACGCAGCTCGCCCCGCGGGCTGCGGGCGAGCGCGACGTCTCCGAGACCCTCTCGAAGGCCCTCCGCCTCTTGTGACGAGCGACCCCAAAATCGCCACGTCACAAGTGAACGCTCTCAGTGAATTTGTAAACATGGAAAAAATTGGTCATCGTTATGTGATACAATACTTTCATTTGAAAGGCCTCAGTCCAACCAATATTAAAGCGGAGCTAGATTCTACTATGGGGGGGTCTGCTCCTTCGTTTACAACAGTAAAGTATTGGGTGGCAGAGTTTAAACGAGGCCGTACGAGCTGCCAAGATGAACATCGCAGTGGTCGACCAAATGAGGTGACCACGCCAGAAATGGTGAAGAAAATCTACAAAATGGTATTGGATGACCGTCGACTGAAAGTGCACGAGTTAGCAGACATGGTAGGCATTTCAAAAAGTGCTGTACATCGCATATTGACTGAAAATTTGGACATGAGAAAGCTGTGCGCAAAATGGGTGCCGCGATTACTCACAATGGAACAAAAACAGCGTCATGAGGATGTTTTAATCGAGTGTTTGGAGAAGTTTCGCAGCAATAAAGCCGAGTTTTTGCGTCGATTCATAACCATGGATGTAACATGGATCCATTATTTCACATCTGAGACGAAGGAACAGTCAAAACAATGGACCAAGGTGGCTTGATGGCTATTTTGAGGAGCTCGACGATTCCCACTATAAACAGGGTATCGAAGCTATTGAACATCGCTGGGAAAAGTGTATTGAGCTAAAAAGAGACTATGTAGAGAAATGAATATATTTTTTCCCAAATTTTTTGTGTTTTCTTTGTTAGGTCAAGTACTTCTGGGACTACCCTCGTAGTTCAAGCTGCTGTGATCATGCTTGCATCATGGCTATCTACCTATCTTGCATGTTCTTTTCATTTAGTATTCCAAATTATTGGATAATTTTCCAAAACTTCGAGGAATATTATAATATCATTATTCCTCTGTCTGGCTAATTTTACCGACATTTTGATAATAAGCAGCAACAATATTAAGACAATATTATCCGCACTGAGAACACGAACTCACGATCGTTTGCCGGCCGTACGCACGTCTCGCGCACGCGCAGTGCTGAATATTCGTTAGCTACCCGCTGATTTATTCGCTACCGTCTTTACACGGAGCTTCTTTTGACGCTGCTGCTAAAGTCGTTCGGCTATTCGCTTGACACGAGTGGTAAAAGTTGGACATGTTCAACTTTGCCATAGCGACTAATAGACCCTGCGTCTTCCAAATTTTAGACGCTAGTGAATAAAATCGAGCAGCTAGAAGAAGTTTTTATCAGCGAATTCACTGACGACTTAAGAAGCTTGCTCAAAGCAAGTAAAAGCAGCATCGTGTAAATCACCCTTAAGATAAGGCTTCACGCGTGTTTCTAAGTAAGTAGAAATACATATGTGTGTGTGTGTGTGTGTGTGCGTGCGTGCGCATGCGCACGTGTTCGTGTTCGCCGCGAGGATAAGGATTCCGTGGTTCATCAGCTCTACAATATTTTATGATTCCAAACTTTCCTTGGCGCGAAAAATGCAGCCGCATCAATAAAGTTCCTAACACAGATGTATGTATAAAGGAATAAAAATACTAATTATTTTATTAAATGTTTGAATTGGTGTTCTTGGACAACTTGGCAGTGTCCTTAGCAAACGTAAAACGTATCCATAACATTAGTTATAAGATCTGGTATGATTGAATTCGAAACGTTCACTATTTTTTCTCGCAGCTCTTCTAAGTTTGAGGACCTAGTCTCATAAACTTTGGTTGTAGCTATTTGGTTATGCTATGGAATATGGAATGTGTAATACACGGGTTCAGCCATACGTGTTCACATGATTTGTGAACTACAATCAAATAAGCTCCATCTATAAGCTAATACATTACAAATTCATATGCAGTTGCTTTAGAATTTTGGAGAGCGCCGATCTAATTCCTTATTTGCTTTAGTAATTTTCATTTTAGTACATTTCTTTTGTTAGAAAATGCATTTAACTTATGCGGAAAGGATCACTATATTGATGATAAGAGGATATGGCGACAGAATAAGGTCCAATCAAGATATAGAGGATTTATTCAATGCCACTTACCCTGACCGTGATCCAATTTCAAAAACAACTATTGAAAGAATAATTAGTCGTTTGCAAAGAACCGGTTTAATTAAAGATATGCCAAGATCCGGAAGACCCAAAAATGCTACTAATGATGAAAAAGCTTTAGATGTTTTGCT